TGGAAAAGAATGCTACCCTCAGGCCAAAGCTTTGAGAGCTGTATTTCTTCACTCTAAGTTGGCCTTGGGTACACCGGGAACTACTGACATCCAGAGTGGAGGCCAGAGGAAGAAAGGGGGGGGAGGGAACCTGTCAACTAGATCTTTCTTTGGCAATTTTTCCCACCGTAAGAACATGTCTCCAGATTTTTTACAAATATTTTCAGTTGTAGATGGGCACAATACCTTTATTTTATTTATTTTTATGTGGTGCTGCACATCAAATCCAGTGCCTCACACATGCTAGGAAAGTGCTCCACCACTGAGCTACAACCCCAGCCTATCCTAATGTTTATTCAGTAAATATATTGACCATAAAGATGAAAAAACTGCCGGGGGAGTCAGAGAACGCCTGTGATCTCAGTGACTTGGAAGGCTGAGGCAGGAGGATTGAAAGTTCAAAGCCAGCCTCAGCAACTTAGCAAGGCCCTAAGCCACTCAGCGAGACTCTGCCTCTTAAACAAAATATTAAAAAGGGCTGGGGATGTGGCTTGGTGGTTAAGCGTCCCTAGGTTCAATCCCTGGTACCAAAAAAAGAAAAAAGTTTTTCTCTCCTTCAGAGGCTCATAAGCAACATTTCTAGTAACCTCAGATGTCTTAGGCATTTATTTCATGAAAGTTTTGAATAATTAATTTCACATATTCCTATCTCAATAGCAGAGGCAATAAATCACCCTCAAACACACTCTTGGTTCCAGTCTCACTTGGGATTTCTTCAGGAAAACATTTAACTTGTCAGTTTCTTCCTGTGTAAAATAGTGATAATGGTATGTAGCTGCTAAGGGGGAGACAGGATTCAGTGGACACCATGTGTAGACACACAACATGGCTCGGAAAGTATGGGATAAATGGTTATTTTCAAGAGTGCCTGACATACAGGAATAAATGTTTTGAATATTTTCCTTTGGTTTTATTATGAGACTGGGCTAATGCCCATATTTAATTCACAAACTTTACAAATAGATTATGTAAATATTTTACAGCCAAAGAGACTAATACATGGGCTATGTATTAATGTGCCAAAGTCCCTCTCTTCTCCTCTGTGCACAGGGTGACAAACAGAAAAATTAAGTCACATAAATGATCTCTACTCCCGTAACCCCCACCCCTGTAGATACCTGTGGGGCTCTCCATATAAACACAAAATTTTTTTTTTTTTTTTTTTGCAATGTAAACAGTTGTTGCACTTTATTGTAATAACAAGAAAAACAGCCTGTACATATTCAGCACAGATACGGGTTTTCCACCAATATTTACAAAATTTACCTTCTATTGGTCTCAGTCTTGGTAGAAAGATAATGCTAGTTTACCCTTTTGAAGAGCATGTTATCTCTCTTGTGTTTTTTAGAAGACAGGAGTCTCTTTTTCTGTTGTCCAGGCTGTTATTGGCATTGTTGTTAAGTTTGCCCACTGATCTCTCAGACACACCCCAGCTGTTGAATTACTTATTCTCAGACAAATTCACTATGCTTGTAGGTCCCCCAATTGGCTATTATTATTATTATTATTATTATTATTAATTAGGGGATTGTACTTTACCACTGAGCTACATCCCTAGTCCTTTTTTTTTTTTTTTTTGAGACAGTGTCTTGCCAAGTTACTGAGGCTGGCCTCAAACTTGTCATCCTCCTGCCTCAGCCTCCCCAGTTACTGGAATAACAGGTGTGTGCCACTGTGCCGGGCTCCCAAATGGTTTTCATAGTAAAAATATTTTTGAACTGTTGACTTTAAATATGACCTCAAAGTCAACAGGTCTTTTCTCTGAAGCCTTACAGGTATGAAGAAACCTAAGAAAAACAAATCTCTTTGAGGCCCTCATGAAACCAGTATATGTGTCTAGTAGCTGCCTTCGTGGTTATTTAAAAGCATGACTCTTTGAGGAGAGTTTCTGAGTGTCTCCCAGACAGGATTAGCTTACAGCTGCAGCCACCAAGAGCAAACCAACAGAATCGTTATAAATACTTAGTCTTACCAGTCAGCAGTTAAACTGGAATTTTGCCTATTGCTAAAAAGGATGCTTCTACTTTCCTAAAAAGGAAGAAAAAAAAATTAGTCATAGGGATTTGTTTCTTCTTAATACAAATAGTCCCTAAGAAGACTCTTTCCTTTGGGTTCTAGGATTGGAAAAATTGTCTTGTCTTTCTCTCTCTTCCCAGTGATTTTTCCTAAAACCCAGAAGGAAAAGAAATGTCCCCATAGCAAACATCCTGCACTTACTTTCTTGTAACACTCAATGATCATGGTTTCTTGTTCATTATCTTCCCAATTAGTCTATAAATTCCATGAGAGTGACTATGATTTTCTTACTCAATATTCTATCTTTGGTGTACAGCTCTGGAACACAGCCTGATGTCCAGTAAAAATCTTTGGATAAAATGTTGAATAAATTGAGTTGGAGCCATAGCCTTCAGCAGGGATGATGGGAGCCGCTGAGATTTAAATTGGAAATAAAATCTGTAATCCCAGTGGTTTCGAAGGCTGAGGCAGGAGAATCACAAGTTCAAGGGTCACCTCAGCAACTTAGTGAGGCCCTGAGCCACATGGCGAGACCCTGTCTCTACATAAAATACAAAAAAAAGAGATGAGGATATGGCTCAGTGGTTAAGTGTCCTGGGTTCAATCCCAAACACACACAAACACACACTCCCAAAAAGAAATGGAGATGAGGGGCTGGGGCTCCGGCTCAGCGGTAGCACACTTGCCTGGCACATGTGAGGCACTGAGTTTGATTCTCAGAACCAAGTACAAATAAATAAAGGTCTATCAACAACTAAAATAAAATATTATTTAAAAAAATGGAGATGAAGCTACTATAATGAAGTAGGAGCTGAGATTTTTGGCACATGCAATAGATTATAATGTGTCTGTTTGGGGGTTTTGTTTGCATGTTTGTACAGAGGATTGAACCCAAGGGCACTTAACCTTATGCCAGCCACATCCCCAATTCTTTTTTTATTTTTTTATTTTGAGACAGGTCTCCCTAAGTTGCTTAGTTGGGGCCTTGCTAAACTGCTGAAACTGGCTTTGAAGTCATGATCCTCCTCCCTTAGCCTCCTGAATTGCTGGAATTACAGATGTGTACCCCTGTGCCCGGTAGGAGTTATTGTATGTGTGCAAGGTGTTCAACTCTTTTTTTTTTTTTATTTGTTCTTTTTAGTTAAACATGGCAGTAGAAGGTATTTTGACACACACATGCGTGGAGTGTATCTTCCCATTCTTGACATGATGTGGAGTTACAGTGGTCGTATATTCATATATGAACATAGGAAAGTTATGTCTGAATCATTCTACTGTCTTTCTCATTTCCATCCTCCCCTTCTCTTTATTCTCCTTTGTCTAATCCAGTGAACTTCTATTCTTCCCCCCACCCCAATCTTCACCCCTGCTTATTGGGTATTAGCATCGCATATCAGAGAGAACATTTGGCCTTTGGTTTTTTTGGGGGGTTGGCTTATTTCACTTAGCATGACAGCCTCTAGTTCCATCCATTTACCATCAAATAGCATAATTTAATTCTTCTTGATGACCGAGTAATATTCCATTGTGTATATACACCACATTTTCTTTATCCATTCATTCGTTGAAGGGGTACCTAGGTTGGTTCCATAGCTTAGCTATTGTGAATTTAGCTGCTATGAACACTGATGTGGCTGCATCACTATAGTAAGCTGATTTTAAGTCCTTTAGGCATATGCCAAGCAGTGGGATACCTGGTTCCAAGCAGATGGTGGTTCCATTCTAAGCTTTCTGAGGAATCTCCATCCTGCTTTCCATAGTGGTTGTACCAATTTGCAGTCCCACCAGCAATGTATGAAGGTGGTCAACTTTACAATAGAATTAATTGTCAGTTAAAAGATTTTTGAGTTTTGAAGGCAAAAACAAGGAAGGCCTTGACATTGACGTTGACCTACAAGACTAATGTTAAATTGCACCTAGGTCTTGTCTTGAAGCTTTTTAGCCATTATGGTACATAGTACTATTTGAGGTTCTGTTTGTTTTAACAAAGAGGGCTTTTTCCTAAAGCACTAGTATAACAGTAGTCAAATCTGTGGTTTAAATGTATAATTTCAACATCACAATTAACATCTTAAAGCCATCTATATAGGATATTATAGCATCAATGCTAGTTGTATTATTGATCAATAAAGTCTTTAAAAATACATTTCTAGGGCTGAGGATATAGCTCAATTGGTAGAGTGCTTGCATTGCATGCATAAGGCCCTGGGTTCGATCCCCAGCAAGCAAACACACACACACACACACACACACACACACGAAACTTACATTTTTAAGGTTAAATGTATGAGTGTCAGCAAAAATGGCATAAATGCTACCTTCTTAAATTAGAAAACATATAGCATTTCATGGAACCATCTCTTCTGATTGGTTGTATCCGAAAACATGATGATGAAGGAATCAAGTTGAAAAATGGTAGAGGCACACCTGTAATCCCAGCCACTTGGGGGGGTGAGACAGGAGGATCACAAACTCAAAGCCAGCCAGCTTAGGGAGGCCCTAAGCAACTTAGTGAGCCCCTATCTCAAAATAAAATTTAAAAATAAAGGGCAGGTGCAGTGGCACTCACCTATAACTCAGCAGCTTAGGAGGCTGAGGCAGGAGGATCGAGAGTTCAAAGCCAGTCTCAGAAAAGCAAGGCACTAATCACTTAGTGAGACCTTTCTGTAAATAAAATACAAACCAGGGCTGGGGATGTAGCTCAGTGGTTAAGTGCCCCTGGGTTCAATCCCAGGTGCAAAATTAAAAGGTTGAGAACAAATGTCTTTTTGAAATTTAGTCCCTTGATAATGCTGCCGATTCTGAAGAAAACCAAGAGTAATTGCAATAGCAATTAGCAATAGCAATAGTAATTACTATTGCAATAGCAAGAGTTGGAATTGCAATTGCAGATCACCATCTATAAATATGTAAAGGAGCCAAATTTACCCACAGTGATTTTTTTCCCATGCAACCAAAGCTTGAGCCAGGTAGGGACATACATAAACCGAAAGCCAAGCTGGGAGAAACAGAGGCTGCCTGATATGTGGTGAGTACCACCAACTTGACGCCACTCTATCCAGGTCACAGGCACCCACAGTGATTTTTTTAAAAAAGAATTTAAAATAGATTATAATCAGAGGGAAAGAAAAACATCATTAGGAGTAATGTGTGCCTGCAAATCTAACTTTTTTACTTACTTTCAAAAAATTCACAAGTTGACAATTTTACGGAGGTCTGATGACTATAATAAACTGCACACATATCTATAAGCATATAATTTAATGAGTTTTGATATATGTCCACACCTGTGAAACCATTATGATAATCAAGATAATTCATCACCTTTAAAAAAATTCCTCCTGGCCCTTCATTATCCCTCACTCTCATTCCTTCCTCTGGGCAAACTAACCTACTTCTTTTCTTTTTTAATTGTGGTTTTGAAAAATACCATGAAATTTTACCATCTTAAGGAAGTAATAAAGATTAGAGCAGAGATAGGTGAAACAGAGAATAGAAGAATAATTTTAAAAATCAACAAAGTTAGGATTTTTTTTTTAAACATCTACAAGATTGAGAAAAATCTTGATTAGATTAACTAAGAAAAAGAGAGAAGTCTCAAAAAGCTAAAATCAGAGGGGCTGGGATTGTGGCTCAGTGGTAGAGCACTTGCCTCACACATGTGAGGCACTGGGTTCAATCCTCAGCACCACATAAAAAGTAAATAAATCAAATAAACGTACAAATAAAAAAAAAAAAACTTTTAAAGGCTAAAGTCAGAAATGAAAGAGGAAGCTTTACAACTGATACCACAGAAATAAATAGGATTACAGAATACTGTGAACAATTGTATGCCAGTCAGTTGGATAACAGAAGAAATAGAAAATTCCTAGAAATATATAATTTAACAAGAGTAAATCATGAAGAAAAGGAAGACCTGAAAGACCAGTAACAAGTAAGGACCAGTGATCAAAATTCCTCCGACAGACTTTCTGGCTCAGGGACATCAGACCAATGCCTAAGAAGAAGATAAAAGTCTAAACTATAAAGAAAGAAAGTCCAGGCATGTTTTGAAGACCTGTAGTGCAGTTACTTAATCCGTTTGTAAGACATGAATCCAAAATAGCTAGAAGTTTCCTTCTTGAAAGTTCTCGGAATTGTGTGCATGTACTTGGTCAAGACCCTGTGATGATGCAGGTGAAAGAAAGAATTCAGCACAATGTTTTCTCTTCTGACAAATGAGAGGGCAATCAGGGGAACATGAAATACAAGAAATGGATGATGTCAATCAAAAGACGACATGGCACAGGGCATCAGTATTCTTGCCAGGCCTCAAGGAGATGGTGATCAGCAAGTGAAAAAGGAGTTTAGAATTTATATGGGAGGGATGTAAACAGTGGTGAAACTCTTGGATAAAAATAGTGTGAATAGGCAAGAAGCAAGGATTATCAATAACATTATATTTCTGATGGACTAGACAAAACGAGAAGGGTGATTGATCACTCTTTAGCTATTGTTTGGTATAGTCTCATTCCCAAATCATGTGTAGTCTTTATAGTTTCTAGGGATAGAATTAAATAAAATATTCTTTATTTAAAAAGCAAGACCGCCACCACCAACAACAAAGCCCAGGACCACATGGCTTCATAGAAAAATTCTAACAAATAATTAATAAAGAATTAACACCAATCTTCCTCAGACTCTTTCAAAAAAAATAAAAGGGCAGGGAACACCACCGTGCTGAGGCCAGAAGCCCAATATCCCTGATGAATATTGATGCAAAAGACCTCAACCATATGCTAGCAATGTGAATCTAACAGCAATGTGAATCTAAAAACAGAATTTATTCCTGAAATATAAGATAATACATAGAGTCAACTAATGTAATATACCACATTAACAAAATGAAGGACAAAACACACATGATCATCTCAATTGATGGCAGAAAAAGCATTTGGTAAGACTGATACCCTTTCATGATAAAAGTACTCATCAAACTAGTAAAAGTAGGAATAGAAGGAAACTACCTCAACAGTTACTTAATCAGTTTGTTAAGACATGAAGACTATATGTGAAAATGCCACGAACTGAAAACTTTTCCTCTAACATCAGGAACAAAGCAAGGATGCCTGCTTTTGTTACTCCTATTCAACATAGTACAGGAAGTCCTAGCCAGTGCCATTAGGTAAGGAAAAGAAATAAGATCATTGAAAGGAGTAAAATGATCCATTTTTAGATGAGAAAACTTACATATAGAAAACTGTAAATATTCCTCAAAAGAAACTATTAGAACTAATAAACAAATTCAGCAAAGCTGCATGAAAATCAACATGCAAAAATCAGCTGTATTTCCATACACTGAGAGGAAACAACTGGAAAAAAAGGAAATTAAGATAATAATTCTATTTACAGTAGTACCAAAAAGGATAAAATACTTAGGAATAAACCTAGCCAAGAAGGTGAAAAACCAGTACATTGAAACCTAGAAAACACTGCTGAATGAAATTAAAGAAGATACAAAAAAATGGAAAGAGATCCATAATCATCCATAACACACTGTTCAAATAGCCATACTACCCAGAGTAATCTACAGATTCCATGTAATCTGTGCCAAAATACCAGTGCATTTTAAAAATAAAAACAGTAAGAATTATCCTAAAATTCACATGAATCTCAAGGGACACTGAATAGACAAAATGATTTTGAATAAATGGAGTTGGTGGACTCACATTTTCTGTCTCCAAAATGTGTTCCAAAGCTACAGTAATAAAAACACTATTACTGGCATAAAGACAAATATATAGGCCAATGAAATAGAATAGTGCCCCCAAATCCACCCTCATGTATATGCTGAAATGATTTAACAAGGTGCCAAAACCCCTCAATGGGAAAAGTATAGTTTCTTCAACAAATGGTGATTGGAAAACTGGACATCCATGTGGAAAGAACGAAATTGGATTTTTTTTTATATATTTTTTTTTTATTTTTTAGTTTTCGGCGGACACAACATCTTTTTTTTTTTTGTATGTGGTGCTGAGGATCGAACCCGGGCCGCACGCATTCCAGGCGAGCGCGCTACCGCTTGAGCCACATCCCCAGCCCGAAATTGGATTCTTAAACCAGAAAAAAAATTAACTCAAATTGATTAAAGATCTAAATGTAATACCTAAAATTATAAAATGCCTAGAAAAGACAGAGGGAAAGCTTTATGACATTGGATTTGGTAGTGATTTCTTAGCTATGATACCTAAAGCACAAGGAACAAAAATAAAAATAGACAAATGGGACTAACTCAAAGATTTCTATTCATTAAAAGACAGTTTTTTTTTTTTTTTAAACTTTTTTCAGCACTGAGTTCTGAATTTTAACTCTTTGCTTGTATGTGGTGCTGAGAATCGAACCCGGGCTGCACGCATGCCAGGCGAGCACGCTACCGCTTGAGCCACATCCCCAGCCCCTAAAAGACAGTTTATAGAATGAAAAGACAACTATGGGATATAAAACATATATGTGATAAGGGGCTAATATTCAGGATAATTTTTTTTAAAATCCTACAATTCATCATCCTAAGCAAATAATCCAATTATCAAATGAGGAAAGAGCTTGAATAGAAATTTCTCCAGAGAAGTTATAAAAATGGATAACAAGCATATGAAAAGATGCTCAACATCCATATTCACCAGAAAAATGCAAATTAAAATATAATGATCTATCATCCTATACTCATTAGGATGATAATTTTAACAAATCAGAAAATAATAAATATTTGCAGGGAAGTATAAATGTTGGAACCCTCTTGTGCACTGCTGATGGTATTGTAAATGGTTCAATGACTTTAGAAGAAAAAAAAAGACTTTAGGAAACAGCTGGGTAATTACTCAAAAAATTAAAAAGAGAACTACTATATAACCCAGTAATCCCACTCCTGGGAATGTATCCAAAAGAATTGAAAGCAGCATCTCAAAGACAAATTTGCATACATAACTTCATAGCAGCACTACACACACTAGTCTAAAGGTAGAAGCAACTCAAATGTCCCTAGACAGATGACTGACTAAAGAAAAAAAATATGTGATATAACGTACAACAGAATGCTGTACCACCTTTAAAAGGGAGAAGAATCTATTTTATTTTTGTTTTTTGTATTTGTGGTGCTAGGGATTGAACCCTGGGGCCCTCTACCATTGAGCTATATTCCCGGCCAATATTTATTAAATTTGAGACAAGGTCTAGCTAAGTTGCCCAGTCTGGCCTTGAACCTGCAATCCTCCTGCCTCAGCCTCCCAAGTGGCTGGGGTTACAGGTGTGCACCACCACCATGCCTGGTTAAAAGGAAGAAAATTCTGACACATGCTGGAGCATGGATGAACCTTAAGGTCACTATGCCAAGGGGAATAAGCTAGTCACAAAAGAACAAATACTGTATGGTTCTTCTGATAATGAGATATCTAAAATAGTCAACTGCAGAGAGACAGAAAACAGAATGGAGGTTGCAAAGGGTCGGGAACAAAGGGGAGCTGTATAGAATTTCAGATTTGCAAATTAAAATGTTTGGAGATTTGGTTTACAAAACCATGAATTTGTTTTAACCCCCCCCCCCCCCCTAACTGTATGGCAGTTAAGATAGTAAGGTTTGTGATTTTTTTTTTACCACCATAAAAATTGCTGTAAATAGATAAATAAATACAGTGGAGCACACCAAGTGTTGACAAGGATGGGCGGACCTGGAACCCTTTCATACTAGTAAGGGGAATATACAATGGCACAACTACTTTGGAAAACACTTCAGTGATTTATTTAAAATTGAGCATAGCAGGGTGTGGTGGTGCATGCCTGTAATCCCAGGGGCTCCGGAGGTTGAGGCTGAAGGATTGCAGTTCAAAGCCAGCCTCAGCAATTTATGGAGGCCCTAAGCCACTCAGTGAGATCCTGTCTCTAAATAAAATATTAAAAAGGGATGGGGATGTGGCTCAGTGGTTTAGTATCCCCCTAGGTTCAATCCCTAGTATTAAAAAAAAAAAAAAAAAAAAGGGTGAGCATAGAGCTAGATATGGTGGCATACCCTTGTCATCCTAGCAACTTGGGAAGCTAAG